AATAGATGAGGTGACGGTTTTGTCCGCCATTTTGGACCGGTAGGCATAGTGTCGCAAAATAACAAGGAATGACCGGGAAATCGATGTCAAATAATTCTCGCTGAATTCAAATTCAGAAAGAATTATCAATTGCAAATGTTAGATACTACAAAAAGGAGCTGACTGGCCAAATTTGAAGGATGTGCTTCGTCTAGGGAGCGAGAAAATTTATTTTTAGTTCTCAATACATTTCTTTGTATTTTTCACGCGCGTCACGCACTGATGACCCCGGAAATTATAACGAAATGTATTGAAATTACAAAGAAATGTATGGAGAACTAAAAATGAGTTTACTCGCTCTCTAGATCAAGTACGCCTTTCAAATTTGGCCAGTTAACTCCTTTTTGCAGTATCTAACGTTTGCAAATGATAATTCTTTCTGAATTTGAATTCAGCGAGAATTATTTGACATATCGATTTCCCGGTCATTCCTTGTTATTTTGCGACACTATGCCTACCGGTAAAAAATGGCGGACAAAACCGTCACCTCATCTATTTTAATTGCGTGGGCTTGAAATCCCGTCCAGTCCTCATTGTCGGACTTTAAACATTACTTAACGATTGGTGACATGATTGAAGGATAAATACCACTTTCTGATGCCTTTTAAAGTTTCAATTGGATGCTATCAAGCTCGATGAATACAAAATATCGTCTTACCTTTGTACCGAGTCCAGTCGTGACGAAATCTTATTGCACTGAATACTGTTCCTCGATCACATACGATGCAGAGTCGATACAAGATTCTTGCACGATAATGAATCAATCAAACATCATGACATGAAGTCGTGGTTCTTTGTCAGTTTTTCGTCCAAGAGGCAACGAAGGCTTTGCTCGAATTCCCGAAAGAGTTCTATCGTTTGTAATTCCGCTATGCAGGATTACCTGAAGTCTGGCTCAACCCGGAAATGAATGTTTTGATTTATGTAGCTATTGCGACAGGGTTTCACTTTATACATAGATTTGAATAAATCTTAGACTTTCACAAAGTCCCTTTTAGCCTCCTGGCACAAGGTGAATATGATTCGATAAATATATGTGTCAGTTTGGTAGCTAAAATATGATATATTGTGTATATCAACAATGAATGAAATGAAGAATCAATGTTTGATCATTTGAAAGATAAAATGAAAGATTTCAGTGAATGACAACTGAAAGAGTGACATATAGAAATAAACCATACTATTGTACATAATGTCATTATAAACATATATATTTCACATTTTATATGTTTTTTAATATTTTTTTTAAAAGCCATAGATTGTTTCATTAGATCATACATATTCATAATAACAAGCAATCCTGTAATCTTGAATGTCGTCTCCTTTAAGAGCATCAATTCAAGTAAAATGCTTTCCAACTTTCCGTCCTTCATTTCACTGCTTTTTATTGTTGGGATCCCTGTGTTGGTTCCTTCGCACATAATATTTTGTTGTGCACACAAGAGGTCAATACATTTTATCGAACGAACTCGTTTGGTGTCGAAATTTTTTTATCACACTTCATATCACTTGCTGAGCTCCTTTTTCGAGCAGTAAACACAGAAAGCGTAAAATCCTTTTTCTTTCAAAATAACAGGAGAGAACGACAGTTCTCAGGGCAAGAAATTATCGTTTATCGTGGTTTTCCTCTTTTCATCCGCGATCTTGCTTCTTTTCTTATGGTCTATCATAAATTAGACCTCTTGACTATTAGAGCTGTCAATCAGAATGCAGCATCGCTTTTATCAGACCATAATTATGTCTGTACAATTGTTGAGCAGAAGAGCACCAAGATAGCGCAGTTTTTCGGATGCCCATCTACGTGTGGAGAAATCGCTATTTAACCTTACAGCCAACACGTCATGATCAGATAGGCATGACCGCTGGCGTTGTTGTTCTGGTTTGAAAGAAGAGAGGGTAAATCGTCGCTCGCGTCACTTGTCTCGTAGCAAATGACAAAGGTGAGTTCAAGTCGCTTGCCTTCTAAAAAGCTCGCTCGGACTCCATACCAGCATGACAGCACAGCGCTTGCGCTAGTCAGAAAACTACATGAGTGTTGTCAATGCAAATGGACTGAATAACACGACCGCGATCAGTGACCTGTAGGGTACGTAAAGAGCAGCGCCCAATAGGGACCTCAGTAGCTTATAGGTGCCTTTTACAATGACAGCGCTCACATATTAATTGAGGAAGTAGTGTATACCATTACTTCTATGAAGTTTTTGCCAGAAGTCTAAAGGCCCGGCCAAACGGTAAATGTTGCACGATGCAACACCATGCAACATTGTTACGCGATGCAACATTTTATCGTTTAGCCACCGTGTTTGAAGGTGTTGGATGTTGCTGGATGTTGTTGGATGGAGCATGCAACATGTTGCACGGAGTTTGAAGTCCGTCAAACATTCAATGCAACACCGTGCAACATTTCTTTTGTTCTCGTGTTTGACGTGCAATGTTTT